AATCTGCTACAATGTAAAACATATTTAAATATTAATATAAATTTATATTTTGTCTATATAAATGTCAATCTAAATTGTTGGTTTTAATAAATATGATAAAATAAATAAGAATCCTCACAAATGAGAATTCCAAAATTGACGCCATGTAAATTTAAATATTATATAAAATTATCCTTTTTGTTTATGTAACATATATGCTAATCCAAATCAATGAATCTAATAAATTTGTTAAAAAAAATCCTCGATAAATGAGGATTCCAAAATTGGCTACATATAATTATTTACATAATCTATGACTACAAAACAAACACAAACCGCAATCCGAGTTATATGAAAATTATGCAATTAATGATTTATTTTTTATTTATATCATATTATAATATTTCCATCTATAGTAGGTAATTAATGTTTTGAGCGGAAAATGCTCATAAAATGTTTGGGTCTGAAAAAATCATGTGTTATTAAAAACCTAATTATAAACAACATTATTAGTTTGATTATTGAATAACTCTTTATTCCCACAAATTAATATTGTCAACCATTTTCTATTGTATCACGCTAAATTGCAATATATAAGTGATCGTAACTAAAAACATGTTTTTCAAAGAATATGCAAACGTGCGATAAAGACTGACACTCACCCTTGTTTATCATCGTGACAATATAAATGAATGTTTATCTCAAAAATTTAATCTTTTAAATGTAGTGATCGTGTGTTATTTTTTTAATTTCGTGATTGATGGACTTTTTTATTAATTACTGGTTTGATTCAATATATAACAAATTTTGTTTGTGTAAATGCATAAATAAAAAGAGACTTAAACTATGAAAAAACTTTCATCTTTTGAAAGCAAATAAATGATAAACATTATCTTTTAAAATAAATAATGACAATGATTATAATATTGTTATCAAAACCGATAAAGTATATAAAATTTGTTCTCCTTTTCAAACCGATAATATAGAAAAATTCAATTGATGAATGGATGATATATACAAACCATGATTTTAGAAATATGTTCAAAATTTTCTTTGCATGAATCCGACGCATAAATCATTCATCCTGTTATTGTATTATTAAATTATTTGAAACATGTACCACCCGATATTTGATTCTATAAAAAAGGGGAAGTGAATCCATCAACTATTAAATCAGTTATTCCATATCAATTGACAACTAATGGGCCGAGATATGCTATCCCAAATTGTCAAGGAATATTAAATTTGGGTAATAAACAATGCATGACGGGAAAAGATTACTAAAAATAATTTAGTCTAATCTTATTTTAGACATAAAGATTTAGTATTGATACCATGTACAACCAGTATTATTAATTTATATTATACCATATACAACCGATATTATATCATTTGGCAAAATTATATTAAATTAGTAAATTAAATTACATTATACCATATTCAACCGGCCTTAATCTTATTTATTCGGCAAAATTATAAAAATAGTTGGTAAAATGGTTGATTCCATGCATAACCAATTTTATTTGGAAGAATTTGGAAGAATCGGAAAGAAATTAGTTATAAGTCTTAGCATCGATATTTAAGGGAGTAAATTGTTTGTTTCCATGCGATTATTAAGGAAGTTTTTTGCATCATTAATGTTAGATATTTTTTTGATAAAGAATTACTATAAATAGGGTGTATTTAATGCTAATGGCGGGAAAGAGTTTCTAAAAGTGAATTATGTTAATCCTTATTATATATTAATAGATACCATTTAATTTATAGATACGTTTTAATATAATCATATAATTTAATCATACAATTTAATTTATTAAAATCATACAATTTAATTTTTTTCTTTAAAAATATGTTTTAATATATATATATAATACTTTTTGTAATAAATTTGAATAAAATGTTACTTAAATATCTAAACAATTTAAAAATTCAAATGTTTAAATTAATTGATAAACAATTTATAAATCTCTATTTTATTTAAATATGTAATTTTATTTAAAATAATTTTAAATAAAACCAAATTAATTTAGAAAATTGTATCAAACCAACCAGTTCAACCGACTGGTGTTGATTCGATGGAAAATATTTTATTCAAGTGAACTAAACTGATTATAAACCTGTTCTCGGTCCATCCGGTCGGACTGTGTCCAACACGGTTTAATTTAAAAATGATGGGTAAATCTTCATTAATTTATTTGTATATTTAATTTATAACACAATCGTAATATTATTTTCCCGTGCGTCGCACGGGCCACGCACTAGTTCTACTTTTTAAAAATAAATATACCCAAAATATTATACCTTTTTATAGGGATAAAATAATTATTTTGGGCTTAGTTTTAAAACTCGGACCACTGCAGGTTGGATTTCGGGTCATCGGGGCAATCAATTGTTAAACTGACTTGACCCGACTGAGTCTGATATAGCACCTTAGGAGCTCGGAAACTCGAGGGGACCCCGTGACCCATAGATCATGGAGGTTGAGGTCGTGGTGACGACCTAGGCACAGCTTACGGCAGGTAGGTAGTAGGGTCGTGCTTACGACATCGGGACCTAAGAATCGTGAAGTAAGAGGAGACAAAATCTTTTGTGGCTGGAAAGTGTATCTTTTTAAAAAGTCTTAGATCCTATAAATGTGGTAAGTTAGGATAGTGGATACGGAAGGATCGCTTTTTTAACTATGACTCTCTTGGGTATCAAGACACCCTATTATATAAAGCTAACGAGGTTCTTATATTACATTTCTCACAAATATGTATACTTAAGCATATACATTACCGTTTTTCCTCACGAGCAAAGACTGACTTGAGCATAAGAGGTTTTCTGCCAGGACCCCTCCCCGATGATTTCTAGGTCACAGGAGCTCGAAGCCAACGACCTTTCTTGGTGAATCGATTTTGTCTTTTACCTGATATAAGGAACTAATCGGTTTTTTTCACGAAAAGTTTCAAGAGGTTTGAAGATCATGGCAAGATATAGTTCTAAGAAACTGGATGAGACGTGTACATCACAAGTATTTGGGACAGACCCCCACTGGGTTGGTCGAGGTTGACCGACGTGCTTAACACACCTAAAGAGGTGTTGTCGCGCCTCACACAACGTTAACCCTTGTGTCAAATGCATCAGGGAGACCTCATGCAAGGCTGGAACTAGTTGTCGTCCAATATGAGACAGTGCTTTATGAGGTACAAAAGCAGGTAGTGGCCCACGGTATCAGGGTGTAGCAGGATGATCCAGGGGTCAAACGACCTCGAGAACTAATCGAAGGGCAGTTATTGAGTCCCATAAAACAAGAGGTTCTTAGGGGAGACCAGATTATTCAACTTATAAAGGCGAAGTTAGGAAGAATCGTTGCTAAGGCGGTAGCTCGAACTTGAGCTCGGACTCCTAGACGACCAAATCCCATTGGGCCACCACCGCAATCCCAGTGAAGACCGGAGGAAGTGGGGTTGAGGTCGACATCCTCGCCTACTACCATAACACGGCCAACTCGGGACGCTACACTCAAAAGGTTGGCAACCCAGCTGCGGGGGCTGCAGACATGGGTTTAAGGCAGGATACCACCTCGGGCCCATGACCACACATTTGCTGAAGAGGTCCTGGAAGCAAATTTACCTAACAAACTTCGTTAGTTGAATTTATCTTCTGATGGTTTGGCGAACCCAGCTAGGCATTTGAGTCCGTTCGAGAACATAGCGGTTCTCCACAAGTACAAGATGCGGTTGGCTGTAGGGATTTTCTCACCACACTGAAGACGTCGGCACAATACTGGTACTATTAGTTGCCGGTCGGGTCGGTCTAGTGTTTTGAAATATTTAACATTTAGTTTATTGATCAATTCTCAAGTGCGTGAAGCATGAGAAGACCTACATGGCGTTGATCAAATGCAAGAGAGAGAATGGGAGACTCTCCGCGGGTACGTATCTTGCTATACTTGGAACAAAATTCAAAGTCACTCTGAAGTAGCAAAATATCAAATATTACCCTGGCAGTGAAGAGTTTAGCTCCCTACAGGATTGAAACTAGAGAAGAGTTTCAGCATCTAAAATGTTGCATTGTATTTTCTTCCACTTCCTTCTTGTAGCCTCTTCCAAAGCTCCTCTAACAGCAAGCAAAACTGCAGCGTAAATATCATATGCCCAAGCCTCTTCATTCTTCCATTCATCAACTTCTATTCCATCCATGTCTGCTCAGCACTTCCATTCCACTTTTCCTCCAGGTTGGCATATGGCACTTGGCACCGACTTGTAAATTCACAAGTCCTACCCTCCCGAAAAATTGCCTCCGTTTGTAGTTAGTGTATGGCTCATCCTCTAACTGCTCTTGATCACCAGCAGAATAATGAATAAGTTCCAACCAATCCTTTTTAGCCTTTTCCACAACTTTCTCTTCTATGAAAGGCTCATTTCTAAATACAACGTTATTTCTAGCCTTTCATAATCTCCACACGAGACATAAAGAAAGCAAAATTGTCTTTCATCTTCCTGAAATTAGAGCTACCACAAACATCTTCCCACCAATCCTTATTCAACTTCTATTCCCTGAAAAGTTGTCCATTCTGCACTTGTAGAACAAATGTCCATAATCTTTCTTAGTCTTCCCCACAGGAATTGCAGATGGTATCCAAATGTATACACCCCTTCCTGACAGTTGATTCTTAGTCCCCAAGAATCAATGGCAAACTCTTCACTTCTGCCACTTCTGAAGATCAAAGTGTAGCCACGCCACGCCACATATTTAATGCAGTGTTGGACTCTTTTGAGTACCAAAAATATTTTAACAGTGATTATGCAAATAAAAAATCAAACAAGGCTCATCAGCTGATAATTAAATTTGGGTCTTTCAAAAAAAAAAAAAAGAAAGAAAATCTACTTAGCATAGTATTACCAATCTATACATAATAAATCTTGTTCAATCTGTTATTCTTATTAATAGTTGTATGTACAGTTGACAAGAAAATTCTTATAATCACCAATCGGCACAGCTTTATTTCCAAGCCAAAAAAGCCCCTTCAGTAGAGTTTAACCGAAATTGAAATTGAGTGAAGGCTGTTGTGGAATGTTGTGTAACTGAGGCAGGAGAGTAGCGGGAGAGAATCCTGATGATGCTGCAGAGGAAGAAGAAGACAATACGGGCAAAAAACGAATGTCTTCACCTCTGGTTGTGATCCAGTTTGTGAATCCAGGCAAAAAACGAATGTCTTCACCTCTGGTTGCTCTTTCCTATCAGTCAGTAAAAATATATGCATAAAGAGAGCTAAATTATCAGACATAAAAAATTACCAAGTTATAATGAAAAGCCATCTTTAGTGTTGTATGTACTCAGTACAAAGGCCACCACCAGGTGGACTTCGTAGTACGGAGACTGATAAACTGGGGTGAGGGCATTTTTTAAAAAGAGCTGATAGTGTTTTAATTCCACCTATTTTGTCCATACATAAATGTCTCAATATTTTCAGCATTGAACTCTATCTTTCATCGACACTTTGTTGTGAGTTCTTTTTTGTAAAGAAGGGAGGCAAAAGGGTAGATTGAAAAACCAGAGAAGAAAAGATGAATGTTGCTCAAAGAATTTGATTCTAGCTTGGGATTTTCCTGCAAGTTAAGTATAGTTGACTCGAAGAAAAATAAATCAAATGTCAAGTTATGAAAAGGGTTCACACATTAGCTTTGACGACGTTCATGATTAGCGTCTAGGTGGACATAACAAAAGTACCGAAGCAACTTATGCCACATGTGAAACATACACAAGATACTCAAAATGATCAGATAGATGTGTGCAAATCAGGTAAATAAAATGATAAATTTAAAATAAATGGTTATTTTAAGCGAAAACATACTTCAAGTAGGGTGCAACTATAAGCTTAAACAAGAAATATAAAAAGGACAATCACCTTAGCATTTGGGGCAGACCCAGAATATAGGCCAGCAGCCCCCATTGGAGCACAATTGGTTGACTTTCCAAACTCTTCGGGTGAAGCTGAAGCATTTTCGACCTATTAAATTGCAGAAGGCTCAGTGGATAGGTACCAAAAAAAAAAAAA